GTACTGTTAGTCACTATGGGCCTGCGTCCAGGCGTGTTGCTACACGTGCTCTGGCCAACGCAGGAGTTGCGTCCAGAGGCGGAGCTGCCTGCACTACCCAGCCAGTACATATGCAGCAGCCGCCGTCACAGCAGCAGCAGCAGCCGCCGTCACAGCCGTCACGGCAGCAGCAGCTGCAGCAAGTCCATGTGCTTGGTAGCGCCGTGCGTCCAATGCTGCTGGAAGCAAGTGGACAGGCCCAGCCAAGCCCCGCTGCACCGAGAAGACTGATGACTCCGAAGAAGAAAAAATTGGAAAAACAACAGAAGAACAAGGACAAAGCCGAGCAAGCAGCTTCACTGTGCAGTGCCATGACTGAGACACTCTCACTCAACCCTGGAGCAGTGCCGTTCCAACCAGCGAAGCAAACACTGTTGCCTGGACCTCAGCTGGCACTGCCTGGACACCACATGGCATCGCCTGGATTCATGCCATGGAACTCGCCTTATGCTGTTACCAGTCACCTGAAGGCGTTAGAGCTGCCCAAGTTTGATGGGAAGGTGAAAAGCTACCTGAAGTGGCGGCAGCGTTTCCTTCGGCTGATTGACGACAGTTACGCGATGTCGGAGAACCACAAGCTTGCGCATCTGAGGGAGGCCCTTGCTGATGGTTCTGCAGAGGAGCTGATTGCTGATGTCTTGGATGGACCTGGCGCATATAAAGCAATCATGGCCGAGTTGGAACGCTGGTACGGTGGCCAAGACCGAGAGCTGAACAACCAGGAAAGAGAGCTCATGGAGTGGCCAGTCTTGACCAATGAGCGTGACGTCAGCCAGCTGAAAAAGTTCGCCATTCGGCTCCGCAATACCCTGCTTAACATGGAAGCAGTCCAGGTGCAGCCAGGCAGAGAGTTATACCTGGCGCTAACCCGGAAGATTCCTCGACGGCTCCTGGCACGCTACTTCGATCGTTATGATGATTCCAGCTGTGACATACAGGCATTCTCGCAATTCCTAATAACACACGTCCAGAAGCAGATGCATGTTGAGGAACGAATTGGCCTGGGAGACCGCCCACCAGTATCACTGCAGCCCAAGGAGCACCAAAACAAGAGTAATCGGCCGTTGCCCAGCAGGCAATATGGAGTCAGGGAGCGCACGTTTATCTCCAGTCCTGGGACTCCACGATCAAGCGACTCGTCACAGCCTGGGCCGAAACGTAACTTGGTCGCTTCTAGCAGCCGCAGCAACTCCAGAAAAGAGCAAGCTGCCTCAGAGCAAAGACAGCATGCAGACAACAGCCATGCCTGTGGTAAGTGCGAGGGTGCACACCATATTGCAGATTGTGGCGAATTCAAGAGTCTGCCCGTGCAAAAGAGAAATGACACGATCCGGAACCTACGGCTATGCGTCAACTGCCTGGGAGATGGGCACTGGGCACGAGACTGCATGGCAGCGGTGTGCCGAGAGTGTCAAGGCAAGCATCATCATTTACTGCACCGTGAACGACAAGGCAGTTTTACACCATCACCACCAACGCGAAAAGAGGCTAGCCACCATGTGAACAGTGAATCCCAGCCAGCCAATGACGACGAGGCCGGCTTGACCTCATTCATGACGATACCGGTGAGGGTCGCAAATGGAACAGTGACTGCCACAGCCAACGTCCTTCTTGACTCTGGATCAACATGCAGCTTTGTCACGGAGAGGCTTGCACACCGACTACGGCTGCGAGGAGAGCGCAAGCCAGTGCATGTTGGTGTGCTAGGCGGTCAAGTTCTCTCAGGCGAGCGAGAGGTGGTGTCTCTGTCCCTTCATCAATATGACAGCCAGGAGATATCAGAAGTTGAGGCATATGTGCTGCCAAAGATCACAAGCGACGTGCACGTTGCTGATTGGAGCCGTCTGCGTCACCAGTGGCCACATCTAGCAGACATTGATTTCCCTGCTGCAAGCAATCAACGCGCCATCGACATCCTAATCAGGCTAAATTCAGCAGCACTGCACAGTGCACAGGAAGAACGGAGTGGCAAGGCAGGTGAGCCCATTGCAAGGCGCACACCCTTGGGATGGGTCTGTTTCGGGTCAGCCATACAAGACAGCTCTGTCCAGCACACCCATCATGCCCTGGAACTAGGTTATCAGTTATGGTTATCAGTGCGATGAATGCAAGTACAGCCTTCAACAGCCAGAGCCAGGGACTCAAGGACCAATTCGGTGCCCTTCAGTTCCCGCCACGTGGAGCTCATGTTTCGTTTGCAAACTTCAGGGGGCCAATTCCCTCGAGCAACTTCAAAACCTTTTTACAGGGTAAAACCGCCCCATCCACTATCACTGGCGTCGGACCAGGTCAGTACTGCCTTTACTGGCTCGGATTTCCACATCGGCTGGCCATGCAGCTTGGCAAATGTGTTTGCCCAAAATCGGATTTCTTCTGCAACATCGCTTGGCAAAAACTTCAATGCATTCCATGTGCTTCTGCTTTCGATAAACCGGTACATTCCTCTAGTGCGGAGCCTGCAGATTGGCCCTAGTGCTACAGACATAGAGAGCAAAGTCCCAGCAAGGCTCGCTACAGCTCGTGCTGAAACTGGTCTTTTGCGCTGCAATTCTGCTACCCTCTTTTGAAATAGCTGTACCCGCCTGTTTGAAGCCGTTATCTCTCCGTGCTCAAAATCAAGCTCGAAGCCAAGCACCTCGACTTTACGAGAGGGTATCCAACAGCATTTGGTTGGGTGAGGAGTGAAACCTGCTTGAATTAAGTCAGCTTTCATTGTGGCTGCCACTTTCAATGCACCTTGGTATGACTCATGCCCCCCCCCCCCCCGTGCCATCGTCCATGTACAACTGACAACGGATACCCTGCCGTCTCCAATGCGCAAGCCAGGGCTTTGTCAACTTTGTGAAAATAAAGGGCGCCGTGGAAAGGCCAAATGGCAACACGCAAAACTCAAATGTAGAGACTCTACCGTCCACTTTACATCGGAAGCCAAGATACTTCCGGTACTCTTCCGCAATTTCAATGTGGTGATAACCGCTTTTCAAGTCAAAAGTCACTACATAGTCTCCCTTCCTGTACACATCAAGCACTGTTCGGATATCTTCTAGCTTAAACTTAAAAGATGCAAGGTGCTTGTTATCATACCTAAGGTCAACGATCAATCTTAGTTTTTTTGCCGTTGTCCACTACGCCCAAGGGGCTACATACCACTGGCTCCTTTGCTTCCCTTACGCAACCTAGACGTAGCATATTTACCACTTCTGTTTCTACAAAGCCTGCATGTTGGATTGCACTTTCATGGTTTGGTAAAATCTTGGTGGAGGGACGGGATGAAAATGGAAGCACATACCCATTTCTGATAACTGCTAAAATCATTCCTGATGCACCAATGCGTTCCCAAAATGATACGTGTTGCGCTAGACCACCCACTATTACGTCATTCAGCCCTTCCCCTCCCATATCTTCCTCACACACAAGCTGGGCAACCATGTACTCTGAACACATTTCTTCCAAACACTGATCACCATCATCCTCATCAACATCATCGTCACCACCATTAACAACACCAACACCAACACCAACACAAGCAAACTTAGCTTTTACTGAGTTTCGGGCAATACCGAACGTAGTGGCCCGTCTCTCCGCAGTGGTGGCACACAGCCGTAGACTGCCGGGTTGTGGGCCTGGCTGGCTCGGCTGGCAACCGTTGCGCTGGGGCAGGCCGGGCTGGTGCGGCACTCCAGTTGCCGGCTGGTGCGGGAGTGCTGGCCCGAAAGGGCTGCTGCTGGGGCTTCTTTGGCTTCGAGCCATCCTTTCCCTGCTTCGTGGCCTCGATGGCTAGGCGGAGACGTTTCCGTTTGTCTGCGCTGGCCAAGAGGCCAGCCATGCCGTCCCCTTCCGTGAACGCTGTGGCGGTGTCATGGCCATGGCGGTCCGCCACTGCTAGCCACTCCAACCTATTCTGCAGGACTTCGCTTGCGTTCTTGAGCTCCTTCAGCGCCTTGGTCTTTTTAGATTTTTTAACAATTTTTTTAGCCGTTACCAGGTGTCCAGATATTTCGGAGAGGCATTCGAATTGATGTTGGTAGCTGAGTCGTTTCATACCTGGCATAGTATGCGGCACTGACTGGCTCCTCTTCTTATTTTTACGCTTTTTCTGTGGTTCTAGTAGAGGCCCTGCTCGACGACGATGAAGATCTGAGGTGCGAGGGCATATTTCCAGTTCATCAACAATCCCGGGCGAACACTTTCTCAGGCAGCGAAGGATCAAAATACCACGAACAAGTAATAGTTACTATGCCGAGGTTACGGTGCCAGCCTATACCATGTATACCATGTATACATTGGACGATGTCCGCCAATATTTCTGTATATCGATAATCGCGTTTGAAGTTTTGTTGGGGAGGTATGCAGCAGCGACGAAGCCCCTCCGCGCATTTTCATTCCGTTCGGAATGAGACCTCATTCCAATTTTTCTTAGGAATCGCCAGGATCGATTCTGCTCCCTTCATTCCGCGACCGGAATCGGAATTGCACCGAACAACCGCTGCCGTTCTGCCGTTGTACAACTAACTGGTTAAAAGCTCTAGTACATCTTGGATGCGCACTACAACAGCCTTCCAACTTGGAAGGTGGGGGATGTTAGTGGACATTATAACGTAACTTGTAGTTTTGAACCTTTGAGTTGAACCTTGGTGGATACCAGGCTAAAATTAGTGGTGGTCAATTCATCTGCCTTGCAAGCTGTTGAATGGTGTAATCCCAGCACAAATTTCTATGTCTAACATAGCTGTTCACTATCATCACTTCCGCGATGGGCATGTCTGAGTCTGAGTCTGAGTGTGTGTGTGCGCGTGTGTCTGTGTGTGCTGAGGGTGTGACATGAGTGTGCAGGTTCGCTAGAGGAGAACATCCTTGAACAAGCTGTATATCCGCATTGCATTACTTGAAATCACCTTGGGGACTAAACAGATGATGATGTAATGGAAGTTTACATGAAAGACTACAGAAAGTAGCATTACCTGTACCATCTTGGCCTGGGTGTCCATGTTGACCTTGGGTGGTGTTGGTGTTGTTGTTTACCCAACCAGACGGGTTTGTTTGCACCTCAGTAGATGATGGCATGTCTGTTGCTGTGGTATCATTAGCACCATTTGTTGGTTGCAGAGTTACTACAGTTTGACCTGGCAATGGCTGAGTGTTTGGCCGCTGGGTTCCTGAAGGAATTGTAGCAGCTGTTGGAAGAAAACAACAGAAGCAAAATAATTATAATAACAGAATGAATGAAATATTTGTAGACCAGGATCAGTGGAGAATAGTGGAAAGTACTGTATCCAGATATTGTTACGAAAGGGAAGAAGTTTAGTTTAACCTTTTGCACCCCGCGCCCGAGTATACTCGTTTTGTAGCATGCCCTGCTTTCCCAAGCCCGAGTATACTCGGGTAGAAAATGTACTGTATGTACAGTGAACTCGGATTGCGTATACCTCGCTATTCAAACATTCGTAACTCTGTTATACTTTCTTCGATTCTCACACCTGACGGCTCGTTGGAAAGCTGAAGGAATAAGCTTTCCAATGGTATGTCGTTTGCTGGGGCGAAAAGTAAAATACCGGAGCGCCGAAGGTGGAAACGCAATTCACGGGCCGAAATACAGGGCACAAAATTTCGCACCTTGGATTTTCGAGTGGACATCGGCAGGGAAGGGACTTTCCCTATGACTCACAGGGGCACAGCCCATGCGTGTTGGGTACCAAAATGAGCGCTTGAACTTCAGGAATCTGAGAGAGTTTGAATTTTTGCTCTGCGCTGAGTAAAACTGTAGAAGCGAAGAAATTTGTGACTGGGTGTGGAATATCTCTTCGAGGCCCGATAGAGGAGCTCTCAACGGAGTGTGAAGGCAACTCTATTGCTCCTGCTGAGTGATTATTCTTTTCGTTTGGACAGAGAAGGCTTCAAGCTTTCCAAAGAGCCCAAGATGATCAACTTCCGTTCCTGGTGAGTGAAGTTAGAATTTTTTCGAATCACAGGTCTGCTCTGCCGGGCGACAGAGAGAGAGGCGCAGCGAGCGGACTGGGAATTCATGGGTTTCAGGCCGGGGTGGAAAAGGTTAAGAGTATTTGTACTAAGAGGGACAGTCAAGCGGAAATCCAGAACTAGGCACAATGGCCACACATATCCAATAAAGAGCTTTTTGTTGTTTAGTCAATTTCCCAACTTATGATCTCTGACAATAGTATTTTCTTATGTGCCCACATGCAACCGAATCAAAGATGAATGTAGACATATTTTCAGTCACGCATTGTGCTGAACCGATTGTTTTAGTTCTCTATCAGCAGTGCGCCATGTCATCTCTCTTCTGCTGTACATAAAGCGGTACAAGCATGTGCATGCCTACACATGCATACATGGTATTACATGCAACTGCATTGCGATATTTGAGGATCAATGCAGAACACAATGAGCTACAATGCAAACTCGTCCAATAAGGGAAGAAAGAAGAAAAAATTCTAACTATTCACAAGTTTGGACACGGATGGAGAGCGAAGGATAAATTTATAGAAAAGAAAAAGGACCAAGGAACTACAAGTTAAGCTATAATTATTGTCCACTAACACCACCAGTTACTTTACAATGAGCTCATGCGACAACATTGCACGACACTGACCAACGGTACTGATGTTCTACACCTTACTGGCTGTCACCCGAAATGACGAATCTATGAGCGACATCCACAGAACCTGGTGGGAGAGTACGCGTGTACTCGAGTCTCATCCTGAACTCGTTTTCTCTTCATTTTCCCGCTCCAGTATAGCAGTATTTTTCATTGCAAAGCCGTCCTCGATTGTTGTGTTCGTTGTTCAAGCGAAGTGGACATTCAATCAAGAACACAGAGGACATAAGAGCCTGATTGGAGTTTCTCGTGGCATAGGACGGCCACACAAAGACACTTTACGCAGATCGAATCATTTTTTGTTGTAGCAGTTGCAGGGCAGATCCCCGCCACTACTTCAACAGGGTTTCGCTTCACAGCATGCCTGGAAAAAGCCATATCGAGGTTTCAAGCTACCCCTCTCAGCAAGAAATTCGAAATTTCAATACAGGAAGGTATGTTACGAAGAGAATTTCAAAATGTATGGTTGTCCGCGCGATCGTTCAACATACAGCATTCAAGCTACATGTATGCAGGATGGTTCTGACCTACATGCTAGGCATGGCCATAGGGTTTGATGTCATAGCTGACACACAAAGTCACACCCATAACACATTTGTGTGCACAGATACTAAATTAGTGGATGTCGTCATCTCCTTGCCGCTAGTCTCAAATGTACTATGACGCCTATTTCGCTTGATGAACCAAATCTAGCATATCTTGGATGCGCACACCAACAGCCTTCCAGCTTGGAAGGTTATTTCTAACTTAGAACCTCCCGTTTGCTACCATCGCTTGATTGACCATGAGTACTACGTGCTGTGTCAAATGTTTCCGATTTTTCCCACACATCGTTTCGTGATGGCTTGGCGATTACTGAGGATCAGCCCAGCCTCTCCTCATTCTTTTCTGCAAAGCACCAATGAGATATTGCAGAGGAGAGGGAAGGCGTCGCAGTTGCCAGTGTAGAAGTTGCGGATGATTCCGGCATCGACACTGTGCTTCTAATTCTCGATCAGTGTGCTGTGGAGGATTCTCATGTCGAGCAGCCCTGTCAGGAGACGCTCCAGCAAGGAGAAACATCACTCGATAATGCAGTAACTAGAAAAGCTTTGTAGGGGATCGTTGTGCACTGACCAAGAAAAGAGGACGCTAATTTCAGGGAGAGAACCACTGCTGCCTGCTACTCTTCCATACAGTCTTTGCGCGAGATGAATGCAAGCAGTCAGGATTTTCAAGGCGCTATCTGCAACGACAGTACTTCCAGACATTTAATTGGCTCGCTTACAAATACAAACTGCAAACTCTGGAAACACCCTTTCATTGCTCGGTGCACATGCCACGGGTTGCTGTAGTAGCTCTTGGTCCTTTTGCACATGATGAGCATTGCGGTGACGTGGTTACGCACAGCGCCTAGAGATGCATTTCCCAGAAACGTCCAGCAAGATAGCCTACCTGACCTTCTGATGATATGGCAGCGAAGTTATGCAAGGATAGACCATAGCCAATTGTGTGTGTGTGTGTGTGTGTGTGTGTGTGCGTGTGTGTGTGTGTGCGTACAATGAGCAATTAGCCTTACTTATTACGTGCATATCTTTCTTCTCTCCCGACGGGAAATTTCAATTACAAACATCCCTACTATTGTTTTAAGACCAAGCTAACTGTCTAAAGAACATTTCTATAGCACCCCTCCCCTCCCCTGAAAGGGGACCCAGCTATGCCATTGCTGCTGACGGGCATAAACTAAAACTATGCTTCATAGTACTATAGTGGACATGGGAATTCAATCGATTGACCGGGGCCGGCGCCCTCAGCACGTACAGAACGCTGCGTGCAGTGCACAAGCCATGTCGATCAGGCGACCAGCGCATAAATGCATGTGTGTACCGCTTATCCACGGCTGCATGGCCAGCGCCCTGGGGCCGCTAGACGTGCGACCGGATTTCCATGTCCATGACAGTAGAACTAAGACTGAATAGTCCCATCTATTCACATAGTAACCTATGTATGGGATCCTTGAACACCATACATAGCGTTTTCAAATTCCTATTGTTACCTTCACTGCCGGATACATTTGAAGTTTTGGTATTCTGTGCCAAGTTAGTCTGTGCCACGGTAGTTGATGCCGGGGTAGTTGAAGCCAGGGTGGTTGTTGCCTGGGTAGTTGGTGCCTGGGTAGTTGGTGCCAGGGTGGTTGGCACTGGTGTTGTTGTTGGTGCCTGGGTAGTTGGTGCCAGGGTAGTTGGCACTGGTGTTGTTGTCGGTGGAAGAGTTGACGAGTCTTTCGGGAGGAAGAACAGAAACCATGAACATAAATACGTATGGTAAAAAGGGAGAAGGACAACACGTTACGAGTTATGACTAACTGTCCACCAAAGTAACAATATCATAATATTATACTGTCAGCGAGTGTAACAAAAATGTGCCAAAACTGACATTGGCTCACCATCCGAGCTCAATGAATACATAATAATATCGATGAAAGGAAAGTAAGCGCACTCATACCACGAGAACAATAGAACAATATTTTAAGATTTTAAGATTTGAATGTCGGTTTCATGTGATAATCATCAGAAATTAGGTATGAAACGTTTACACCGATTACTCAGAACTTACTCGTTATCTCTAGGAGCGCTACTCGTTATGCTGTTATCCAGTATGCACTACGTGTACATGTGTATTGTACATGTGCATAGTACTAGCTAAGTCGCACTGTCTGCATAGTCAACACCAGCACGTGTCATCCAAGGTGACAAAATCCACTCCTTTTCCTAGTCACCTTCGCACTTTTGGGATCCAGTGTGTACCATCTCTGCAGTAAAACAAACTGGGTGTGCAGGATTTGATGGGTGTCTAGAACTGTATCACAGTACTTCTAGACGAGATGTCACACTACTAGTACATGTGTGTACTTCGGAGATGCCAATAGTCAGCATTCGTGACATACATGTACTATACATGTGCATCACTACATGCACATGTATGAGCGTATACTAAGTAACTCTATTTTACTGTATACACAAGTCATGAATGAGCTATTATCATGTTCCGGAGACCAGTAACATTTTGATATGTCATACATATCCAGCATACTCGTTTTATGATAGCTCGATCGTTTATGATAAACGGTACTCGATAAGAAGAAATGGATGATCGCTTCATCCCTATCAGAAATCGTTATCACACTGAAAACATGTTTATTCGCACTTGTAATCCAGATTGATGCAAACAAAACGAAGTCGTTACAGCACTCACACTCTTCACTTTTAAAACATACCAACACTCACATACATACTTACATACATGTACCTTTCTCACCTGCACTTCTCCAACCTACACTTGCTTTCACACTGCTCGCTGCTCATGTAATCACGCCTTCAATAGTGCTAGCTTTGGAATATTAGCATTTCTTGTATTAGTTTTAGATCTAATAATACGAAATAGTGGTTGCGACTTCGGCGATGATTTTTTAGGCATGGGTTTGCTCCCACACTAAAAGAGCTAAATAATGTTCACTTTGTGGTACCATAAATATCTTTCCTTTGTAGTCCACCTTGTTACGTTTTCTTACTCTTAGTACTCCCTTGTGCCATTGTTCCAGCAGATGCTGCGGGTGTCGCTGACCTGCACAGTTTGTACGAGTACTTGTAGATTTATGCAGTGCGTGTCTACAGCTGTATTTGAATGTGTGCGTAGTGCACAGTTTGTAGTTGTCCCCTGGCCCTAGGCCCTGTGCCTGTGATACGTGATTTGTGGTGCGTGTTAGCTTACACGTGGGAATGCTACGCACTTTCATGTGACCTGCGTTACTTCCTTCTCACTGTACTTCCTTTTATGCATGTATCGCTGGCATATGCGACACGGGCCGGCCGGGCCGGAGTGTGTATTGGTTTTGGAAGCATGTGCCTTTTGTTCTGTGAGTTGTTCGCATGCACATGTTGCTGGCCGGGTGGTAATTTTTTGGTTCTTGTTGTGTTGGCCCTGGGCTCTAGATTCTACAAAGTTTGTAGCTGTTGTGATTTTACTATGTTCCATGGGTCTGAATAATTGTGTTCTCCGGAGTGGAGTAAAACTGAACTGTGATTCGATTGTGTGCGGAAACCCGGTGTTGACGAAAGTGTGTTGACCTGGGCGCTGAGGAAAAGTAACATAAACTGGCACCTCCGACGGGATCCTTTTTGCCTTTCCGTGGTTGCTGAGAGTCGTCGCCATGAGTGAGGAGCGGCGTATCAGCCACAGATCGACGAAAGGAAAGGAACCCAGGCGATATGGATTTTCTGGAAGTGAGCGCTCGAGTACTCGTGCCAGTCCTGGGAGCACTGAACTCGTAGAATTGGAGAGAGCTCGAGTGGCCAGAAAAAGGGCAGAGGCCGAAGTGCGAGTGGCAGAAGAGATTGCTGCACTGCAGGAACAAGTTCTGCAGAGTAAGTTAGCTGTCCTGCAGAAACGGCAAGCCTTGGAGCAAGCTCGTTCCGAAGAAGAATCTGCGCACGAGTCGGCGGCAGGAGCTAGCCCGTCGCCTCGTAGAGAAATTGCTTCGGACGGGGACGTGGTCTTCCAACGAAGTCGTGACGGCGCAAGTGCGACTCTGCGATCTTGTATGCCACCACGAGCGGAGTCGGACAGTGCAGTTACCGGTAGTAGGTTTACGACTGATCCTCCTTTACCACTCGCGCGCACCAGTGTTGAAAATGTGAATACACTGGTAGCAGGAACAGCAGCTGCTCAGCTATCGCAGAATGTCCCGGACGTCGTTGACGGTGTGTCTGAAGAGTCAGACCACTATGTGTCATCCAGTAGCGCCTCAAGTAGTGACACTGCTGGTGACTCTACAACTACTGGAACTACAACTAACGCCAGTAGTGGTGAAAGTGATAACAGCCACACTGATAGTAGTACTGTTAGTCACTATGGGCCTGCGTCCAGGCGTGTTGCTACACGTGCTCTGGCCAACGCAGGAGTTGCGTCCAGAGGCGGAGCTGCCTGCACTACCCAGCCAGTACATATGCAGCAGCCGCCGTCACAGCAGCAGCAGCAGCCGCCGTCACAGCCGTCACGGCAGCAGCAGCTGCAGCAAGTCCATGTGCTTGGTAGCGCCGTGCGTCCAATGCTGCTGGAAGCAAGTGGACAGGCCCAGCCAAGCCCCGCTGCACCGAGAAGACTGATGACTCCGAAGAAGAAAAAATTGGAAAAACAACAGAAGAACAAGGACAAAGCCGAGCAAGCAGCTTCACTGTGCAGTGCCATGACTGAGACACTCTCACTCAACCCTGGAGCAGTGCCGTTCCAACCAGCGAAGCAAACACTGTTGCCTGGACTTCAGCTGGCACTGCCTGGACACCACATGGCATCGCCTGGATTCATGCCATGGAACTCGCCTTATGCTGTTACCAGTCACCTGAAGGCGTTAGAGCTGCCCAAGTTTGATGGGAAGGTGAAAAGCTACCTGAAGTGGCGGCAGCGTTTCCTTCGGCTGATTGACGACAGTTACGCGATGTCGGAGAACCACAAGCTTGCGCATCTGAGGGAGGCCCTTGCTGATGGTTCTGCAGAGGAGCTGATTGCTGATGTCTTGGATGGACCTGGCGCATATAAAGCAATCATGGCCGAGTTGGAACGCTGGTACGGTGGCCAAGACCGAGAGCTGAACAACCAGGAAAGAGAGCTCATGGAGTGGCCAGTCTTGACCAATGAGCGTGACGTCAGCCAGCTGAAAAAGTTCGCCATTCGGCTCCGCAATACCCTGCTTAACATGGAAGCAGTCCAGGTGCAGCCAGGCAGAGAGTTATACCTGGCGCTAACCCGGAAGATTCCTCGACGGCTCCTGGCACGCTACTTCGATCGTTATGATGATTCCAGCTGTGACATACAGGCATTCTCGCAATTCCTAATAACACACGTCCAGAAGCAGATGCGTGTTGAGGAACGAATTGGCCTGGGAGACCGCCCACCAGTATTACTGCAGCCCAAGGAGCACCAAAACAAGAGTAATCGGCCGTTGCCCAGCAGGCAATATGGAGTCAGGGAGCGCACGTTTATCTCCAGTCCTGGGACTCCACGATCAAGCGACTCGTCACAGCCTGGGCCGAAACGTAACTTTGTCGCTTCTAGCAGCCGCAGCAACTCCAGAAAAGAGCAAGCTGCCTCAGAGCAAAGACAGCATGCAGACAACAGCCATGCCTGTGGTAAGTGCGAGGGTGCACACCATATTGCAGATTGTGGCGAATTCAAGAGTCTGCCCGTGCAAAAGAGAAATGACACGATCCGGAACCTACGGCTATGCGTCAACTGCCTGGGAGATGGGCACTGGGCACGAGACTGCATGGCAGCGGTGTGCCGAGAGTGTCAAGGCAAGCATCATCATTTACTGCACCGTGAACGACAAGGCAGTTTTACACCATCACCACCAACGCGAAAAGAGGCTAGCCACCATGTGAACAGTGAATCCCAGCCAGCCAATGACGACGAGGCCGGCTTGACCTCATTCATGACGATACCGGTGAGGGTCGCAAATGGAACAGTGACTGCCACAGCCAACGTCCTTCTTGACTCTGGATCAACATGCAGCTTTGTCACGGAGAGGCTTGCACACCGACTACGGCTGCGAGGAGAGCGCAAGCCAGTGCATGTTGGTGTGCTAGGCGGTCAAGTTCTCTCAGGCGAGCGAGAGGTGGTGTCTCTGTCCCTTCATCAATATGACAGCCAGGAGATATCAGAAGTTGAGGCATATGTGCTGCCAAAGATCACAAGCGACGTGCACGTTGCTGATTGGAGCCGTCTGCGTCACCAGTGGCCACATCTAGCAGACATTGATTTCCCTGCTGCAAGCAATCAACGCGCCATCGACATCCTAATCGGGCTAAATTCAGCAGCACTGCACAGTGCACAGGAAGAACGGAGTGGCAAGGCAGGTGAGCCCATTGCAAGGCGCACACCCTTGGGATGGGTCTGTTTCGGGTCAGCCATACAAGACAGCTCTGTCCAGCACACCCATCATGCCCTGGAACTAGGTTATCAGTTATGGTTATCAGTGCGATGAATGCAAGTACAGCCTTCAACAGCCAGAGCCAGGGACTCAAGGACCAATTCGGTGCCCTTCAGTTCCCGCCACGTGGAGCTCATGTTTCGTTTGCAAACTTCAGGGGGCCAATTCCCTCGAGCAACTTCAAAACCTTTTTACAGGGTAAAACCGCCCCATCCACTATCACTGGCGTCGGACCAGGTCAGTACTGCCTTTACTGGCTCGGATTTCCACATCGGCTGGCCATGCAGCTTGGCAAATGTGTTTGCCCAAAATCGGATTTCTTCTGCAACATCGCTTGGCAAAAACTTCAATGCATTCCATGTGCTTCTGCTTTCGATAAACCGGTACATTCCTCTAGTGCGGAGCCTGCAGATTGGCCCTAGTGCTACAGACATAGAGAGCAAAGTCCCAGCAAGGCTCGCTACAGCTCGTGCTGAAACTGGTCTTTTGCGCTGCAATTCTGCTACCCTCTTTTGAAATAGCTGTACCCGCCTGTTTGAAGCCGTTATCTCTCCGTGCTCAAAATCAAGCTCGAAGCCAAGCACCTCGACTTTACGAGAGGGTATCCAACAGCATTTGGTTGGGTGAGGAGTGAAACCTGCTTGAATTAAGTCAGCTTTCATTGTGGCTGCCACTTTCAATGCACCTTGGTATGACTCATGCCCCCCCCCCCCCGTGCCATCGTCCATGTACAACTGACAACGGATACCCTGCCGTCTCCAATGCGCAAGCCAGGGCTTTGTCAACTTTGTGAAAATAAAGGGCGCCGTGGAAAGGCCAAATGGCAACACGCAAAACTCAAATGTAGAGACTCTACCGTCCACTTTACATCGGAAGCCAAGATACTTCCGGTACTCTTCCGCAATTTCAATGTGGTGATAACCGCTTTTCAAGTCAAAAGTCACTACATAGTCTCCCTTCCTGTACACATCAAGCACTGTTCGGATATCTTCTAGCTTAAACTTAAAAGATGCAAGGTGCTTGTTATCATACCTAAGGTCAACGATCAATCTTAGTTTTTTTGCCGTTGTCCACTACGCCCAAGGGGCTACATACCACTGGCTCCTTTGCTTCCCTTACGCAACCTAGACGTAGCATATTTACCACTTCTGTTTCTACAAAGCCTGCATGTTGGATTGCACTTTCATGGTTTGGTAAAATCTTGGTGGAGGGACGGGATGAAAATGGAAGCACATACCCATTTCTGATAACTGCTAAAATCATTCCTGATGCACCAATGCGTTCCCAAAATGATACGTGTTGCGCTAGACCACCCACTATTACGTCATTCAGCCCTTCCCCTCCCATATCTTCCTCACACACAAGCTGGGCAACCATGTACTCTGAACACATTTCTTCCAAACACTGATCACCATCATCCTCATCAACATCATCGTCACCACCATTAACAACACCAACACCAACACCAACACAAGCAAACTTAGCTTTTACTGAGTTTCGGGCAATACCGAACGTAGTGGCCCGTCTCTCCGCAGTGGTGGCACACAGCCGTAGACTGCCGGGTTGTGGGCCTGGCTGGCTCGGCTGGCAACCGTTGCGCTGGGGCAGGCCGGGCTGGTGCGGCACTCCAGTTGCCGGCTGGTGCGGGAGTGCTGGCCCGAAAGGGCTGCTGCTGGGGCTTCTTTGGCTTCGAGCCATCCTTTCCCTGCTTCGTGGCCTCGATGGCTAGGCGGAGACGTTTCCGTTTGTCTGCGCTGGCCAAGAGGCCAGCCATGCCGTCCCCTTCCGTGAACGCTGTGGCGGTGTCATGGCCATGGCGGTCCGCCACTGCTAGCCACTCCAACCTATTCTGCAGGACTTCGCTTGCGTTCTTGAGCTCCTTCAGCGCCTTGGTCTTTTTAGATTTTTTAACAATTTTTTTAGCCGTTACCAGGTGTCCAGATATTTCGGAGAGGCATTCGAATTGATGTTGGTAGCTGAGTCGTTTCATACCTGGCATAGTATGCGGCACTGACTGGCTCCTCTTCTTATTTTTACGCTTTTTCTGTGGTTCTAGTAGAGGCCCTGCTCGACGACGATGAAGATCTGAGGTGCGAGGGCATATTTCCAGTTCATCAACAATCCCGGGCGAACACTTTCTCAGGCAGCGAAGGATCAAAATACCACGAACAAGTAATAGTTACTATGCCGAGGTTACGGTGCCAGCCTATACCATGTATACCATGTATACATTGGACGATGTCCGCCAATATTTCTGTATATCGATAATCGCGTTTGAAGTTTTGTTGGGGAGGTATGCAGCAGCGACGAAGCCCCTCCGCGCATTTTCATTCCGCTCGGAATGAGACCTCATTCCAATTTTTCTTAGGAATCGCCAGGATCGATTCTGCTCCCTTCATTCCGCGACCGGAATCGGAATTGCACCGAACAACCGCTGCCGTTCTGCCGTTCTACAACTAACTGGTTAAAAGCTCTAGTACATCTTGGATGCGCACTACAACAGCCTTCCAACTTGGAAGGTGAGGGATGTTAGTGGACATTATAACGTAACTTGTAGTTTTGAACCTTTGAGTTGAACCTTGGTGGATACCAGGCTAAAATTAGTGGTGGTCAATTCATCTGCCTTGCAAGCTGTTGAATGGTGTAATCCCAGCACAAATTTCTATGTCTAACATAGCTGTTCACTATCATCACTTCCGCGATGGGCATGTCTGAGTCTGAGTCTGAGTGTGTGTGTGCGCGTGTGTCTGTGTGTGCTGAGGGTGTGACATGAGTGTGCAGGTTCGCTAGAGGAGAACATCCTTGAACAAGCTGTATATCCGCATTGCATTACTTGAAATCACCTTGGGGACTAAACAGATGATGATGTAATGGAAGTTTACATGAACGACTACAGAAAGTAGCATTACCTGTACCATCTTGGCCTGGGTGTCCATGTTGACCTTGGGTGGTGTTGGTGTTGTTGTTTACCCAACCAGACGGGTTTGTTTGCACCTCAGTAGATGATGGCATGTCTGTTGCTGTGGTATCATTAGCACCATTTGTTGGTTGCAGAGTTACTACAGTTTGACCTGGCAATGGCTGAGTGTTTGGCCGCTGGGTTCCTGAAGGAATTGTAGCAGCTGTTGGAAGAAAACAACAGAAGCAAAATAATTATAATAACAGAATGAATGAAATATTTGTAGACCAGGATCAGTGGAGAATAGTGGAAAGTACTGTATCCAGATATTGTTACGAAAGGGAAGAAGTTTAGTTTAAGAGTATTTGTACTAAGAGGGACAGTCAAGCGGAAATCCAGAACTAGGCACAATGGCCACACATATCCAATAAAGAGCTTTTTGTTGTTTAGTCAATTTCCCAACTTATGATCTCTGACAATAGTATTTTCTTATGTGCCCACATGCAACCGAATCAAAGATGAATGTAGACATATTTTCAGTCACGCATTGTGCTGAACCGATTGTTTTTAGTTCTCTATCAGCAGTGCGCCATGTCATCTCTCTTCTGCTGTACATAAAGCGGTACAAGCATGTGCATGCCTACACATGCATACATGGTATTACATGCAACTGCATTGCGATATTTACATTACCCCTTCCTTCAAAAAAAAAGAAGAAGGAGAAAAAGCCGGGAAAACAAAACAACCAAAAAACTCTTGCATCCTGCAGCTTGCAGCTTGCAGCCGAATGCACGTACAGGAGTTGGACTAAAAGAGAGAGGGGGGGGGGGGGGGGGCAGTGTAGCAACTGTTAGAAATAGTGTAAGGCAATCTGACCCAAACTTGAGGATCAATGCAGAACACAATGAGCTACAATGCAAACTCGTCCAATAAGGGAAGAAAGAAGAAAAAATTCTAACTATTCACAAGTTTGGACACGGATGGAGAGCGAAGGATAAATTTATAGAAAAGAAAAAGGACCAAGGAACTACAAGTTAAGCTATAATTATTGTCCACTAACACCACCAGTTACTTTACAATGAGCTCATGCGACAACATTGCACGACACTGACCAACGGTACTGATGTTCTACACCTTACTGGCTGTCACCCGAAATGACGAATCTATGAGCGACATCCACAGAACCTGGTGGGAGAGTACGCGTGTACTCGAGTCTCATCCTGAACTCGTTTTCTCTTCATTTTCCCGCTCCAGTATAGCAGTATTTTTCATTGCAAAGCCGTCCTCGATTGTTGTGTTCGTTGTTCAAGCGAAGTGGACATTCAATCAAGAACACAGAGGACATAAGAGCCTGATTGGAGTTTCTCGTGGCATAGGACGGCCACACAAATACACTTTACGCAGATCGAATCATTTTTTGTTGTAGCAGTTGCAGGGCAGATCCCCGCCACTACTTCAACAGGGTTTCGCTTCACAGCATGCCTGGAACAAGCCATATCGAGGTTTCAAGCTACCCCTCTCAGCAAGAAATTCGAAATTTCAATACAGGAAGGTATGTTACGAAGAGAATTTCAAAATGTATGGTTGTCCGCGCGATCGTTCAACATACAGCATTCAAGCTACATGTATGCAGGATGGTTCTGACCTACATGCTAGGCATGGCCATAGGGTTTGATGTCATAGCTGACACACAAAGTCACACCCACAACACATTTGTGTGCACAGATACTAAATTAGTGGATGTCGTCATCTCCTTGCCGCTAGTCTCAAATGTACTATGACGCCTATTTCGCTTGATGAACCAAATCTAGCATATCTTGGATGCGCACACCAACAGCCTTCCAGCTTGGAAGGTTATTTCTAACTTAGAACCTCCCGTTTGCTACCATCGCTTGATTGACCATGAGTACTACGTGCTGTGTCAAATGTTTCCGATTTTTCCCACACATCGTTTCGTGATGGCTTGGCGATTACTGAGGATCAGCCCAGCCTCTCCTCATTCTTTTCTGCAAAGCACCAATGAGATATTGCAGAGGAGAGGGAAGGCGTCGCAGTTGCCAGTGTAGAAGTTGCGGATGATTCCGGCATCGACACTGTGCTTCTAATTCTCGATCAGTGTGCTGTGGAGGATTCTCATGTCGAGCAGCCCTGTCAGGAGACGCTCCAGCAAGGAGAAACATCACTCGATAATGCAGTAACTAGAAAAGCTTTGTAGGGGATCGTTGTGCACTGACCAAGAAAAGAGGACGCTAATTTCAGGGAGAGAACCACTGCTGCCTGCTACTCTTCCATACAGTCTTTGCGCGAGATGAATGCAAGCAGTCAGGATTTTCAAGGCGCTATCTGCAACGACAGTACTTCCAGACATTTAATTGGCTCGCTTACAAATACAAACTGCAAACTCTGGAAATACCCTTTCATTGCTCGGTGCACATGCTGAATTGGTGAAGTAAAATAAAAGTCAACAACAACAACAACATGCCACGGGTTGCTGTAGTAGCTCTCAAGTTTCTTCATGTGGCTCTTGGTCCTTTTGCACATGATGAGCATTGCGGTGACGTGGTTACGCACAGCGCCTAGAGATGCATTTCCCAGAAACGTCCAGCAAGATAGCCTACCTGACCTTCTGATGATATGGCAGCGAAGTTATGCAAGGATAGACCATAGCCAATTGTGTGTGTGTGTGTGTGTGTGTGTGCGTGTGCGTGTGTGTGTGTGCGTACAATGAGCAATTAGCCTTACTTATTACGTGCATATCTTTCTTCTCTCCCGACGGGAAATTTCAATTACAAACATCCCTACTATTGTTTTAAGACCAAGCTAACTGTCTAAAGAACATTTCTATAGCACCCCTCCCCTCCCCTGAAAGGGGACCCAGCTATGCCATTGCTGCTGACGGGCATAAACTAAAACTATGCTTCATAGTACTATAGTGGACATGGGAATTCAATCGATTGACCGGGGCCGGCGCCCTCAGCACGTACAGAACGCTGCGTGCAGTGCACAAGCCATGTCGATCAGGCGACCAGCGCATAAATGCATGTGTGTACCGCTTATCCACGGCTGCATGGCCAGCGCCCTGGGGCCGCTAGACGTGCGACCGGATTTCCATGTCCATGACAGTAGAACTAAGACTGAATAGTCCCATCTATTCACATAGTAACCTATGTATGGGATCCTTGAACACCATACATAGCGTTTTCAAATTCCTATTGTTACCTTCACTGCCGGATACATTTGAAGTTTTGGTATTCTGTGCCAAGTTAGTCTGTGCCACGGTAGTTGATGCCGGGGTAGTTGAAGCCAGGGTGGTTGTTGCCTGGGTAGTTGGTGCCTGGGTAGTTGGTGCCAGGGTGGTTGGCACTGGTGTTGTTGTTGGTGCCTGGGTAGTTGGTGCCAGGGTAGTTGGCACTGGTGTTGTTGTCGGTGGAAGAGTTGACGAGTCTTTCGGGAGGAAGAACAGAAACCATGAACATAAATACGTATGGTAAAAAGGGAGAAGGACAACACGTTACGAGTTATGACTAACTGTCCACCAAAGTAACAATATCATAATATTATACTGTCAGCGAGTGTAACAAAAATGTGCCAAAACTGACATTGGCTCACCATCCGAGCTCAATGAATACATAATAATATCGATGAAAGGAAAGTAAGCGCACTCATACCACGAGAACAATAGAACAATATTTTAAGATTTTAAGATTTGAATGTCGGTTTCATGTGATAATCATCAGAAATTAGGTATGAAACGTTTACACCGATTACTCAGAACTTACTCGTTATCTCTAGGAGCGCTACTCGTTATGCTGTTATCCAGTATGCACTACGTGTACATGTGTATTGTACATGTGCATAGTACTAGCTAAGTCGCACTGTCTGCATAGTCAACACCAGCACGTGTCATCCAAGGTGACAAAATCCACTCCTTTTCCTAGTCACCTTCGCACTTTTGGGATCCAGTGTGTACCATCTCTGCAGTAAAACAAACTGGGTGTGCAGGATTTGATGGGTGTCTAGAACTGTATCACAGTACTTCTAGACGAGATGTCACACTACTAGTACATGTGTGTACTTCGGAGATGCCAATAGTCAGCATTCGTGACATACATGTACTATACATGTGCATCACTACATGCACATGTATGAGCGTATACTAAGTAACTCTATTTTACTGTATACACAAGTCATGAATGAGCTATTATCATGTTCCGGAGACCAGTAACATTTTGATATGTCATACATATCCAGCATACTCGTTTTATGATAGCTCGATCGTTTATGATAAACGGTACTCGATAAGAAGAAATGGATGATCGCTTCATCCCTATCAGAAATCGTTATCACACTGAAAACATGTTTATTCGCACTTGTAATCCAGATTGATGCAAACAAAACGAAGTCGTTACAGCACTCACACTCTTCACTTTTAAAACATACCAACACTCACATACATACTTACATACATGTACCTTTCTCACCTGCACTTCTCCAACCTACACTTGCTTTCACACTGCTCGCTGCTCATGTAATCACGCCTTAAATAGTGCTAGCTTTGGAATATTAGCATTTCTTGTATTAGTTTTAGATCTAATAATACGAAAATTAATAGTGGTTGCGACTTCGGCGATGATTTTTTAGGCATGGGTTTGCTCCCACACTAAAAGATCTAAATAATGTTCACTTTGTGGTACCATAAATATCTTTCCTTTGTAGTCCAACTCTCGTATAATGATGATTTCTGATGATTATCACACGAAAACAACGTTCAAATCTTAAAATAAAGTTCCATTGTTCTTGTGGTATGAGTGATTGTAGAGTGATAGAGAGAGAGTGATAGACTTTCCCTTACATTTGCAGATGCCATTATCTTGTAGAATGCCATCGACAGCGCACTTGCATGTATAGAAGTTGTTTGGTGGATTCTCCTGACATACATCCCTCGCATGTGTGCACACAGTGGCATGCTCGTACAAGCACGCATCAATGGCTGTACATAGCAAACAAACATTGAGAAATGTCACTTGTTTTTCTGAATACCAATTCAGGCTATTAGAACAATTTAATCCTTGTAGCATAACTGTTACACTTGGAAGCATTAGCAATAAAGAAAGAGCCACACAACTATTCATTTTGCAACATGCACTTACTGCATTTACTGCTCTTGGATATTTTGGATTATCCTAATTTCCAAACATCCGAAATAATTTAACTTAGGATAACAAATTACTGTTAGCATCCCCCCACCTCACAACAGAGCAACCGAGTTTTGCATTAAGCTGGGAGTGCCGATTCGAGCAACTGGTATAATGGCTCGCAGCTGAGCCAGCAAATGACTCCGCTTGGAGCAGGCGAATGACTCCGCATGGAGCCGGCAAATGACTCCGCATGGAGCCGGCAAATGACTCCGCATGGAGCCGGCAAATGACTCCGCATGGAGCAGGCGAATGACTCCGCATGGAGCCGGCAAATGACTCCGCATGGAGCCGGCGAATGACTCCGCATGGAGCCGGCGAATGACTCCGCATGGAGCCGGCAATTGACTCCGCATGGAGCCAGCGAATGACTCCGCATGGAGCCGCCGAATTACTCCGCATGGAGCTGCCAATTACTCCGCATGGAGCCGCCGAATGACTCCGCATGGAGCCGCCAATGCCTCCGCATGGAGCCGCCAATGACTCTGAATAGAGCCGCCAAATGCTAGATATATAGAGATGCATAACCAGTTGAGAGCATATATTCTCATGGACTATACAGATACCGTCATGTGTGCGCCAGAAACATGAGTTGAGCTAGTGGGTGGGAGGGTGGGAAGGAAATTGTTTCGGGAACACCTGTTCCGCAAGTTGCACGCTCGAAAGTCCAAACAGCAATGACATGAAAGAGACATTGTACAGGATATTGAAGGGCGCGTGCCGACGTGACTCGCGCATGCGTGCAGGTTGGGCCAGCTCGCTGGGCTGGCTGCTAACTCGCGTTAGCATGCTAACGCTCATATAAAGTAAATGCCAAGAAGACACAAGTTATGTTCATAACACCCCGTGGTCTGCAAGACATCGACCATCCAGTACAGTGTGGTCAGGACGTCCTACAAGTTGTACACTGTGTGAAGTACCTTGGAGTTCACGTGGATGACAACATGTCTTGGGATGTACATGTCAATCACCTCGCGCAGAAAACCCGACAAGCAATCGGTAAGCTATGCTGGCATGGACATGGCTTGACAGTGAATGCCCGCCGCACTTGGTACATTGGCATGATTCAGTCCACACTCTGCTATGCCAGCAATGCCTTCTACCCAGCTCTTTCTCAGCATGCACTTGGTCGTCTGGAGCGCATGGCCAAGGCAGGGGTCCGGTCAATTTTGCTGGCACCAACTGCTACCCGTACCGCTCCTTTGTTTGCACAGACACGCATCCTTCCTCTTCTCCACATATAAAGGCCCAAACTATTAGTATTCGTCCATCGCTTTATCCAGTCTGCTACAAGTCCCCTTTTTGACAATTTTTAATTCTAATTACTGCTGCATGCCCGCCTAACCGCCGCATAACTCGTGGTAGTTCCTCCAATCTCCTGCAAATACCCTTCCAAAGAGGCCCTTATAGCCGATCGTCAATCCAGTTTGTGGAACTGTCTCTCGGCCGAACTTCAATCCATTGGAGAGAAGAAGCGGTTGCTGATGCATTGCGCTCGCAAGACCTGCTTATTCTCCCACTTGCCTAAACTGCTTTTTGTACTGTGCCAAAGATCTGGATCTTACTCCTGCTACTTAATCTATACTACATTATCCTCTCCATTCTATCTCCTTCCGTCCCTGTTTTTCTCCCTCCCCATTCTCTTTCTGCCCTCTCCTCTTCTAAGTCCTCTCCTTGTGAGAAGGCACCATTGCCTGTTTGGTTGCACGACTATAAATGCAAGCACAACAACAACAATAAGGCCACCCAGAATGAATTCGTTGTCTCAGGTCACTTCACTCATCACTACGATACGGTACGGTTAGTTGGTGAATGTGTGACGTGGTGATGAGTGGCGGAGCTGGTACTGTTTCAGGATTGGACGGACACGATAATTTAATTTAATTCATGACGGTCAAACTCCAATTGCAGACCAACTTTGTCAACATCATGTCATTTGGCTGCATCAGTTTGATATCTGGAGTAATACAAATCGATTGCGATTTGCGGGGCCGGGATCAGGAATGATCTGCTCACGCACGTTTAGTCATGGTCAGGGAGGTTTTGACATGAAGATACCTGCCGTTGGTATATTATTTCATCATCCACCATGAATGCACACACCGCTGATATTGTTAGAACATGTTCTATTTCGGCCGTTGCCGTTCCGAACAATAATCCGTCCAAACGAAACTGGGTTGTGAGAATGTTTGCAGCCTACATAAGTCTGAATTCCTTATGGCAGCATTCCTTGCTTCTTGGTGTTTTTGTGCACAGTGGGTGCATTAGGATAGATTGTGTGTGTGTACATAATCATGTACACACAGTACACGCATAATGCCTTGGACCAATTTTTTTGCGGCCGGCTGAAAAATGACAGCCGGTCGGGTGACCCAAAAAAATGGATTCATTCTGGGTGACCTGATCAGGTAAATCATAAGCTGTGCTAGTACTCGTTAGTGACACCTAGAACCAGCACATGTTCTGCACTTCATTGTGAACTGACGTCATGTACTGTGCTGCGTAATCACACACTGGCATCCAACTTGCTTTCATTGAAAACAAAAGCAGAAAACCTTTCTTGCCCTGCTGTTCGTTACATGATAACCGACAGTATTTCATTTCCCCACATTATTACTTTTTAAAGGGGAAGTATAGTCAAGAATCAAAATTTCCCTACCGATAATCTTCAGGGTGCTGAGTCGAATGGTCTTGGTCCAAAGATGCTGAGATCCTGCCTTCCTCCCTTATTCCCAATCAAAGTCACGCACTTCTACCTAAACTGGGTGACTGCGCCCTACTAGATGGAGAACTTCTATGCACAATGTCACTAAAAGTGCCATTTCGCTCTTTTAAAAGCACAGATGAACGAGATTGACCCATATCTTGTAGTCTTTTGGATACTGAGACGACTGGTTTTGGTCCGATAAGGCTTCGATGCAGTGTTCACCCTTTATTCCCAATCGAACACAGTTGAGTAAGCGGTCACGTGCTGATGTGCGCACCAGTCATCTGGTCACCGTGCCTGCAGGCTACAACATTCACACCAAGGCTCAACTCGAGTGACAGGAACGGGCGCGAACAGGCTGTAAGTTGTAGTCTAGGTTTTGGAATACGGTCGTCTTTAAAAACTGTACGACATTGTAATGTTGTGTGGTTGCATATGAACCCATCATACTCTTCATTGGTCTAATTACACCACTGTCTTCACAGCAATTATTCATCAATTGCTGTACATAGAAATTCTGAGCAGTTGTATGCGGCTTACCGTTTTCTTGTTTGGTCACTGGTGAAGTAGAGGCAACAGTCACAAATGTGGCAAAAGCGTTATTCACGATTCCATTTCCAGATTGACAATCAAGCACACACTTGCCATTTGCACACCTTCCACCTACTTGGAACAGCGTGGATATATTACTGGAATCAAGGTAGTTGAGGCTGAATGCGTATAGACCGCCAGTCAAATTCAACAACTCAATACGGTTTGACTGGAACATCATGGAGAACTCGTAACGTGATTCGTCACTCATTGAGCACCTTGTTATGTTATACATGTGTTGAGGAGCGTTAGACAGGATCATATAAGCAGCTCCTGTGTTGGTTGTACTTGGATAAAACTGAATTTTTTGGGAATCAACTGTAATATGAACAACATCAGACAAAGAATGTATTGAATGTAGATGGCACACCATTAGGGATGTTATATTTAGTACTCGTTATATTCCTTCGCAACTTAAGCCCCCCTCCTACCCTCGTCCCTTCTCTCGAAGAGAGGGGTTCCGTGTGTCACTGGGAAGTACTACTTCGGCCATATGCAATATTTGCCACTGGCACACAGACCTAGCTCTGTCCACTAGGGTGTGGTGTTGGACTGTACTCTAGTCAAACTGTAGTCTGATGCAACATTTGTGCAGTACACCAAAATATCTGCTCATAGCAACCTGTTCAGCTGGGCCTTGTAGCGAATTGATTTCCAACAGAATTAAAATGAACTCGGGAATTTATCTACAGAAAATCTGCGACCTGGCTAAAAACATGGCTTTTGTAAACCACTCTGTTTCTGGAGTCTGGAAAGCTGTCCGAACGGTCAAAAGAACAATGACAGATGCAGCAGTGCAGGTGACATACACCTGGAACAGGAATCCACGGGTCAGGATTCCAACCCAGTATAAAGAGCAACACAGACGCACAGGTTACACGCTTGCATACGTGCAGTGAGAGTGGTGTGCGGTAAGAGTGAGAGTGTGTGGTGAGAGTTGGTTTGGGAGAGAGGGACGGATTGAGTGTGGTAAAGAGAGAATGTGTAGGTGTGTGTGTGTGTGGGGGGGGGGGGGAGGCCTGGGCGTATGCATGTCCACGATTCATGCCTGCGATGCTGCACCGCTGCTTTGCATGTCGTGATTCAAAGCTGTGGCCTTAGTATAAAAAATTATTAAAAAAATAAAAAAATGTGTGTGATTTTCAGTGGCGATAATTGCTGTTGCCATTGTCTTCACATTGAACCATTGTACGAATTAGAGAGGTTCCACACTACATAAAGCTGGGCAACTTTACCTTAGTGGCTGGAAAAACACGTGAAATCGCGAGTTTGCGCTCCTCTTACGGAAAGTTATCAACATAGATTACGTAGACAGGGCTCTGATAATGTAGGTATTTCGTAAGAGGACTGGCATACAAATTTATGGCTCTCTCCCCAGTTCAACCCTGTCGCCCACTGCCGCGTTCCCCAGGACAGCTATGTGATTTGAAAACTCCGTATGGCGGAACACGGATCGACTACATTTTTAGTAAAGTAATCATGTTTTGCGGAACCTCTCTATTATCATGTTCTCACGTTTATCATCAAACTTCTTCTCACCTCAATGTCATGCTTATTGCTACTTCTTCCGGAAACAAAAACCTCGTGACTTCTTTCACTAATTTTCGCTGCTGTTCTGTCGTTCTCTGTGTGGCTCTGTCAGCCTGAAACACCAACAGATGACATTTCCGAACTGTAGGAAGGCATCACCTTCTCACCACCACCACCATCAGTTCGCGCCTGACGCCTGGCCGATGCATGGCTGGCGGTATCCGGCATAGCAGGCTGGTACATCAAGTAGCGCATGGCACATAGAAGATGACACAGCAACGACATAGCTCGATTGCGACGTACGTTTCGTCCCCGCTGGACTCATCAGGCAATCTTCTTCTTGGATGTCTTTATACGGAGCTTGACTCGGGAGAATGAAGTTGAAGACGCCACTGCAGCTGTACTTATGGTTGATAAATATGGTGGTAAAGACACACCTGGAAATATGGCGGTAAACACACGCCTGCCCACACACGCTCTCTAGGCTGCAAAGTTCTGGCACAGAGCTCACCTTCTCACCACCATATTTATCAACCATAAGTGCAGCTGCAGTGGTGTCTTCAACTTCATTCTCGAGTCAAGCTCCGTATGAAGACATCCAAGAAGATGGCCTGATGAGTCCAGCGGGGACGAAACGTACGTCGCAATCGAGCTATGTCGTTGCTGTGTCATCTTCTATGTGCCATGTGCTACTTGATGTACCAGCCTGCTATGCCGGATACCGCCAGCCATGCATCGACCAGGCGCCAGGCGCGAACTGATGGTGGTGGTGGTGAGAAGGAGAGCTCTGTGTCAGAACTTTGCAGCCTAGAGAGCATGTGTGGGCAGGCGTGTGTTTACCGCCATATTGCCAGGTGTGTCTTTACCACCATATTTATCAACCGTAGGAAGGCATGATTCACATTCTGGAAAGCTGACCGTCATCGCAAGGCAAATGTGTCGTGCTGTAAACCGAGCGAAGCGACGATGTCTCGTATTTTTGTCCACCAGGCACATTACCAACAAAAGTACTGCGCTCACTGCTCGTCGTTGCTAGTTTTTGGTTCATAATGAGAAAGAGCAGGACAATGGCAATCAGGAGCAAGAAGAGTGTGAAAGGGATAGCAGCTCGTGATGTGAAATCGAGCGATGGCGACTCAGACTGATACTCTATTCCCATCAATCGATCTTGTAGACAATAATTGCACACATGTCCATTGAGCATGGTGAAGTGTTTCTTTTCCAATAGAACACTTTTGTTGAGCACAGTAACTCCTTGAAAAGTTATGTGAAAAAGTCACGAAGTTTTTGTTGCCGGAGGAAGTAGTACTGTGAAGTCTCACTATGGGCTGTGGATTGACATGCTTTAATAATAATATCTTATATTATCACATGTGTTGGTGCATATAAGCACATAGTTGTACAAGTTCTCAGAACAAAGATCTGGTGTGAGTTTAAAAAGCGTTGGTTCTTGTAGTTCACAGTTGATCTTATAATAATTATACTGCAGCTAAGCCAGCTTTATTTTCACATACTGCCTGATGAAGGCAGAGCGGCAATATAATTGGAGATCACTTTATTTCAATTACAGTGAAAAGGCCGTTGTGGTGAAGGTGGTATCGAGATGATCAGTTCGACTAGGCAAAACAATTATCGGTGTTGCACCCAAGATTGACATGTAACTTTCTCCCATTTGGAGAGGCTGTAGCTATACTGTCCCTGGTCCAACCAAATTCTAGTTTTCTGCATACCACGCTTGACGCCCATGGTGGCCAGATAGCACCACAAACTCAAAATGGATACTACAACCTTATAAACATCCATGACCAGGCTGGCAATGCCAGTGGATAGCATGGCCACATTAGACTTTCTGCACTGTTGTCTGTTGTAGATGTGCGTACATTCATTATTGTTTCATCATAATGGATGACATAGAGTACTTCGCTTATGAGTCATGATCCGGCAAGCTAGTGAGTGAGGCTGGTGCTTGTAAGTGAAGAAAATATGGTGTGAGAGCTCCATAAGCCCCAAGTAACATGCATTCACCGCACCATAATTATATTACACAATTAGCACACACTTGACACACACTGGTACACATTTTCAAGTTTACTTACAGTTCCAAGGTTGTGGCTCTGCCAGCCGATCTGCAATAGTCACAGAAGAGATATAATGCAAAGTTCGAGTGCATGGCTAACGTAATATTATTAAGCTGTCAAAACCATAATGTGTGTGTGGGGGGGGGGGGGAAGGCCCGCCCCTTTGTCCACACTGTGTGCCCGGGGTTGACCACTGTGCTCGCCGCTGTGCACGGACCACACGTGGACCTTTATCATGCCACGAGAATTCTCTTTTGTTCATTCTCCCTTGTTTTTTTCTTGCTGTCTTCTCCTTCCTGACACAAGAAGAAACTGTGCTTTGTGTGTGTGTGTGGGGGGGGGGGGGGGGGGGCAGCGGAAGAAAACCATTATCGGGTATGGGTGATAGTCTAAAGGTTGCACATTCCAGATTTTTTGTCTTTGTTGGGACTTAGCTTGCGCACATTTTCGCTGTGCTCACCTTCCACCCTTCGGTCCTACCCATGAACCTTCCAAGTTGGAAGGCTGTTGGTTTGTGCACTGGAGAAGTGTTAGAGCTAGGTCTCAGGTCGTTGAATGTCGCAGCAACATGTCAGTTGTGTGCCCTTTTATAGCACTTTCTGATGGCTTATTATCTTGTTACAGTCGTGGATAGTTGTTTATAACTCCTTCCGATGTGTTTTCTTCTATTCTATGTGACAGTATTTACATTTACGACGGAGGACAAATTTGTATGCTGCTCTTGAATAGAAGATTCGAACATTCATTCGTTTGAAACGGAAGAATTCTTTTCTCAATAAAGAACATTCGTCCCAACACTATTTTGTACCCATGGAAGTATGATTGAGGAGTGGGGAGGATCATTAGCTTCCTCTAGGCTGTAGTCGGCAGACTTTGTGTCGTCCTTCTTGAAGATTGAATAATATTATAATAATATTCGTGGGATCCGCATTGGCATCACTTGAATGTTCAGAAACACACAAACTATAGCCACCACCACCACCAAGCCTGTTCACCTTAGTGGCGAATATAGACCTCACGAGTGAGTCAGGGGAGAGGAGGTGAGTCTCTCAACCAATCGGGCGTGTAACGGTCCATAACCCTTTAAACTGCATCCTTGTTACCCTCACTCCGAGCTGTGAGCATCCAGTTGACAGTGGGTGTCAGCGCAGTTCACCATGCCTAAACCCAGGGGTGTAGGAGGGTTTTTGGTGTGGTACGACCGAAGGTCGGTGCGGCCGAAGGCCGTGTTGGAGGGGGCCCGGGGGACCTCCCCGCGGGAAATTTTTGTAAAAAAGACACAAAATCCTGCGTTCTGGGAACTTCTGGCACAATTCTGGCGAAGTGTGCAGTCGAGTATAGTACAGTACTCAGTATGACTGCAGATGCATAACAGATCTACGAATACGAGTCTAGAAAAAGGTCAAAGTCTGATGCGCATATACATCGATGGATCCTAATATTTTTATTGCGGTTTTGCACGTTCCGGTCGGACCACATTTTTCGAAAAGTGGTACGGCCATGGTCGTACCAGTCGTAGCGGGTGCTACGCCCCTGAAACCACGCCGCCTGCAAACCAATCGGCCATATGCATTGAAGAGTGATGCCGAGAAAAGGCCAATTCGGGAAAAATCTATTTGCGCGATAACCTGCGAATGCTTGCAATGTTCTGGAGTAGATTCATAAGTTTCAAATTCTGCCATTCTAGCTTAACAAATCCAATGTTGGAACAAATTCTCATTATCACTAGATATTTGGGACACCTAATTTCAATGCAGAACAAGCATGAATTTAGCTTGGATACTGAGCCAGTAAATAAGCATGAAGTCCTCTATATCTACGAATAATGAGCAAGTTGTTACGAAGACAGAGTAGGAATGTGGGTATCCACATTGACCCTGACCATCCGTTGAGCCAATAATATATGTCGAAAGTAAAAGGGCATATGGAAACGAGTTAAGAGTAACTCTCCACCACTGTAACTAGATACTATATACAGTCAGAAAGTGCAACGACTAGGCACAAAACTGACAGAGTACTGAGACATTTGAGCCTTCCGATTTGAAAGGCTGTTGGTTAGCGCTACGGACATGTGTTGAAGCTAGGTGTCAGGACGTCGAATGTCTCAGTACTCTGTCAGTTTTGTGCCTAGTTGTTGCACTTTCTGACTGTATAGTATCTAGTTACAGTGGTGGAGAGTTACTCTTAACTCGTATCCATATGCCCTGTTACTTTCTACATTAATTAATTCTCCAAGAGATTATTTTATCTGCCATAGTTACCTTGGATAATTGGCATAGCAGTCGGGTTGGAAGCATGAAACCCTGCAGCAAGAAGAAATAGTTGAAATACACAAAGTCGAAAGAATTGTTAGCACCGATGTATTCCCCACAGTCAAGTAAAGCCAATTTTGTAACCGAATGTGTTCGTTCCCTTTTTATCATGGGTAAGTACAAGGAATTATGGAAAAAAGTGTCAAATACAGCAACTTATAGAGCTAGAGTAAAAGCCTAGATCAAAACTTACACTTATACGTGCGAAACAGAATTCAGTAGAACAGGTCAAAATAGGGTGAAGGTGAAGAGATGACTGAAAGCATCAACAAGGAGCAGTATTTGACACTTTCACGAGTATTAGCGCCAAACAATAAAGAGATAAAACATTTTCCTTCTGAGCACATAGTTCCGGGGACAACCTACGAATATACAATGCCTCCGAAACAGCCAAATGTTCACGGATCTGCCACTGGCCAAAACTGAGAAAACATCATTTCTGGCCAAACCACGACAACTACCACTAGCCGACAGATGACTCTTGACTGTGCCCTACTGGATGGGATTTTATATGCAAAATGTCGGTAAAAGCGCCATGCTGTTCTTATGAACGAGATAGGCCCATGCGTTGTAGTCTGTTGGTCGTTGAGTTGACTGGTGTGGTCAGAGGAGGCTGCGAAGGCTAACTTTCACACCAACGCTCAACTCGAGCGGCATGAACACGTGCCAAACAGGCTGTAAGCTGTAGCCTGCGAGCACATTTTTTGCATTAGCCTAAAATTAATTGTTCACCGGTTGTAGTCTTCAGGGTGCTGAGTCGAATGTTCTTGGTCCGAGAAAGCTGAGACGCTCCCTTCATCCTTTATTCCCAATCGAACTCGCCACTTCTACCGAAACTGGGTGACTGCGCCCTACTAGGTGGGGATACGTACGCAAAATGTGACTAAAAGCGCCCTATCGTTCTTATAAAAACACGGATGAACGCGGTTGGCCCATGTTGTGGTCACGTGCTCGTGCGTACACCAGTTTTTTTTGTTTTTGTTTGTTTGTTTATTTAGAGTCGAAGAACAAAAAGGCAAATTTGCCTAATTACATGATATCGACTAAAAAGGAGAATAAATTATAAAAGGCCAATGAAGGTAATGACACTGAGAAGAGTGGGTAGTAAAGTATTACTTTGTAAAAAGCCAGTTAGGCCAGTAAAGGAAATAATAATACAGCGGGCAGTGGCATTACTGAAAAGCAGCATGTGCTGGGAGGGATCGCATGAATCGGTGGTACTGTGGGATTTTCCTGATGTCGGGCTGGAGCCTGTTCCACAGTGATACACATTGGAATGAGGCAGAATGTGTGCCAGCGGATGTCTTAGTGACTGGAAATTTAAGTGCTCGATTTCCCTGACTACGTGTAGCACGGCCGGCATTAAGAGGACTGAACATATCGGTAAGCAATGTGCTGCATTTACCCTGAAGGCAGCGCCAAGTGTAGCCAAGCAGCTTGTGGCAGTACATAACTTCTAGCGAGTGCAATCGCAATTGGCAATACAGCGGCGCAGATGGTGATGCAAATGGAGCGTTGTAAACACAGCGGACTGCGCGCTTGAGTAGCCGCTCTAGGCGCTCGAGCTGATGTGAGGTGAGGCCAGCAGCGAAACAGTTGCTAGCATACAGGAAGTCAGGAAGGATCAGGGACTTCAGGTATGTGATGCGGCACGGGAGGGGCATGCAGCGCCTGTTTCTAAACAGGACAGCTATTTTACAGGCAGCTCGCTTGGCGATCTGGTTGACCATTGTGGTCCACTTTAGATCTTGGTCCATGTGGACACCAAGATACTTTGCGGATTCTACTTGTGCCAGTTGAACTCCAGAGCACATAACGCTGACACGAGGATTCACAGAACGATGGGCAGGGATGAACAAAATCTGGGTTTTACTCTCGTTTAGTACCAGGTTCCTGCTGGCAAGCCATCTGGCCAGGTGTGTAACTGCAGAAGACATACTGCGTTCCAGCTGGTGTTTGTCCCTACTACTAATATAGAGCATGATGTCATCTACGAACTGAACTGTCCGCACACCATACGGTTGCACTTCAGCTGCCACACCACGGACATAGAGGACAAACAGCAGAGGACCAAGTACGGAACCCTGGGGCACACCACTGCTGGGCTGGAATACCTTGCTGTGCTGGTTCCCAATGGCAACTCTTTGCTGCCGGTCACTTAAGTAGTCTGCCAGCCAATTCAGCGCACTTCCACCAACACCAATACTGAAGAGGTCACGAATGAGGGTGCCATGTTGAACCTTGTCGAATGCCTTCGACATGTCAACAAAGGCGGCGCAAGTTGAGAGTCCGGAGTCTTTGGCATTGGCAAAGGCCTCCGATGCCATCACAACAGCATCCTCTGTTGAGTGCTGTTTCCGGAATCCGAACTGGCAATCTGGGTAGAGGCTGTGGGTGGTCAAGAATTCAGTGAGTTGCGAATGTACGATGCGCTCAAGGATCTTTGAGATAATCGGCAACAGAGAAACAGGCCTGAAATTGGTGGCCTTAGTAGGGTCGCCGCTCTTGTACACAGGGGTGATATTTGCAAGTTTCATGGATAGTGGAAATCTCCCTTCGGAAAGTGACTTGTTGAAGATGAGAGTTACTGATGGAGCTAAGAGGTCAGAGCATGCTGCTAGTACAAGAGCAGGTACGCCATCACTGCCCGTTGACTTTGTCGTATCTACACTGCTGAGCAACTTGCGTACACATGCGATGGATACTGGCTTGAAACAGCAGAGATCAGTACTTGCATGCGGACCAGAGGGGATGGACAGCACCTTTGGGCGAGTCGCATCGGTGACGATGTCCGCAAACACTTGTCCGATTTCATCCGGGGGGCATTGAGGAGCAGTGTGGGTCCGTGTTCTGCCTGATACCTGGTTAATCACTCTCCATGTTTGTCTTGGCTGACCTTCCGCATTGGCAAACTGATCCTGATAGTAGCAGGCCTTGAGTCGTCGGTTAAGCTGGTTCACATCACGTCTGGTCTGGCGGAAAGCTTCATGGTCCACAGGGTTGCAGGTGCGTAGCCATTTGCAGTGGGCCCGGTTTCGACTAGATATTGTGGCCAGCAGGTTTGCATCCATCCAAGGAACATGTTTGCGTGTTTTGGTGCGGCGGGTCCTCAAAGGAGCATGTTTGTCTAGGATATCCAGGAACTTCTGCAGCCATCGAGTCCACATCTCATCACACGATCCATCCAAGGAGCACAAGTTTGCAGCCACGAGGTCATTGCGAAACATTTCCATGTTGATGCCTCGGAGGTGCCGAGTCTGCGGTTGAGCACTCTGGGGTGCACAGTCAGCAGTGGTTGCCAGGGTAGAGATGACAGCCGAATGGTCACTAAATGATACTGGGGAGACAATGGTTGGAGCTCTGCACAGCAACGTACTAAATACTAAGTCCAGGGTGGTTTGTGATCCCGTAATTCCGATTCTTGTGGCCTGACTCACACTTTGTGACAGTCCGAGGGTATTCGCGATGTCAGATAGATATGAGAGTTGACCACTCTGGCAGCTATAGTCAACATTGAAGTCACCACAGATTATCACATCCTTTGGCTCCCTCATCGCACGAGTGAACGTCGCTTCCAGGGCCTGCCAGTAAGACACTCGCATATGAGGTGGCCGATACAGACAGGCAATGAGACAAGGCTTCGGCTGGGCCTTCACCTCTACCCAGCAGCACTCAATATCCTGTGTGGCAAGATCTGGCCGGGGGTGGCATTTCAGTCCGACATCAGTGTATATACACACACCACCACCCAAGTTCCCGCAACGGTCTAGGCGATGTAGGGTGTAACCTGGTATGGACATTTCTGCTGTTGTAATTGTACCATCGAGCCAAGTTTCTGAGACAGCTATTACATTGGGCACACAAGTAGAGGCCAGTTGCATTAGATCCTGCAGCTTCTGGCGGAGGCTGCAGATGTTCAGGGACAGTACTTTCAACGTGGAATGTGAACTAGTCATGATCTAATAGATTGTTGGTGGTCTTTTCGCATCTCTTTAGCTGGCATGATAGTTGCATCAAACCTGGTCTCGGTCACAACAGCGATGTCTACATTGTGGTGCGTGACAGTGTGGACAAATTCTCCAAATTTGTTTGCTAAGCTAAAAGCATTAGTCACCAGGAGGCGCAGTGACTTGGTCGAGGAGGTAGGTGGTGCTGTGGGTGTTACATTATAGTTATAGTTCTGCATTTTTTTTTTTAAGTCACGATTAGGCTCTGGCAAGCGGACTAAATCGTGAGCCTGGAGCTAGATTTGTTGGTTTCCGGGAATCCTTCTTCTTCCCCCCAGTTGCTAACTCTGGTGAGGACTCAGTGCTGGCATTCCTACCTCGTCGTTCAGGCGTGAACCAAGTGTGGATCGCTTCGGTGTTGATGTTTGATGCCACTTCTGATAGGAGTCGCTCTGTCCGTTCTAGATCTCGCTCTGCAATGTCTACTTCGACGTCCGCGAGGGGAGTTCTGGGGTGTGCTGTCATGCTTGACAGCGATCCCTGTGCGGACGACATGTCTGGCTCAGTATCTGTCAGGTTGTTCAGCGCTGAAGTAACCGCAGTAGTCCCCTCATCGACTTTCGTAGTTTTCAAATTCAAATCCATTTCGAGCACTTCAGTGCTGACTGCGGGTTCTCCAACATTTGACCCCACAGGAGTTGCACTCGTACTACATCCAGTACTCGAGAGAGTACTCGGGCTGGTGCTGGGCCTGCTGGCAGTGCTGCTGTTGGAGCGTGCCGAGTCTGGCGACTCGTTTTGGACTCCGGTCTGTACGGTAAGTTCACCAGGTTGCCCTCCGACAGTTGCAGTTGCGCTTGTACTGGTGTGCGCGGTTCGCTTGGCGTATGTCGTTCCTGTGGCGAGTTTGCAATCTGCAGCGATGTGTCCCGGTTGGGAGCATTTACGACAGGTTGCAGGCTGGCCTTCGTAGCGTACACGAAACAAGTTGTTCGTAGATGTTTTCACATACGACGGAATCTGCATGTTGGGGCGAAGAGAGAA